TACACGAGATTTGAACTGCTTCACTAAAGTCTGTTCAACAATTATAGGATCTGATGCTCTGGTGGATTCTTCTTTGGTATCATATATCATAAGAGCGGATGCTAAAGCCCCTAATGTATCGGCAGTCTGTGCAGCTGATGTGCATGCCTCAAGGCTTTGTCCAAGGCTTGAGATGACATAAGACAAACCCCCTGAAATGTTTGCTAAAGCACACATAGCATTCTCTTGCAATGCCTGAGCATACTCACCCTGCATGAATTCTTTCGAGGGAGCTATTGTTGCATTTATCAGGGCAGGAATACCATTTGAATTTGCTACCTCACGCCGTGCTTCTTTGCACTGAGCGGAAAGAGATTTAAGAGCACCTGCTGCTTCTGCTCTAACAGAAGCTTCATTGCCAGGTCCTATTAACTTGAGGAGTTTTTTTGTAGCCTCTGCAGCCAAAACTTTGGAACAAAAAGATGCATCTTCCATCATCACATGTGCCAGAAGAAAGCACACATTTGCTTGTGTATTTGGCTCTCCTGTTGCCAATAAATTCACTAGTGTGTCGACACCTCCAGCATGAATAGTTGCAGACCAAAATCCCTCCGTGCTGCTTGAGAGGTTCCTTAAAGCTCCAGTCAGTAAGCTAACAACATTTCCAGATTTGAGCCCTTTGTGTAGCTGCTCCCAGAGCACCGGAACAACTCCCTCAGTAGAAAATATTTTTGATCCAACATGATCCCTAGCACCACCTTGGGAAACAGCATATATGGTCTTTGCAGCAGCAACTTGACTCTCCGATGAGCTTGATTTGAGGAGACCAAGCAATGGGGGAATGCATCCTCCAAGTAGAACTTTTACCCTTAATTCATTTTCCTTGCACAAGGAACCTAAAACAGTAGCAGCTTGTATTTTCACCCCAAGGGATCCTGAACGCAGAAGAGAAACTAGTACTGGAACTGCTTGAGAGTGAGATCCAACCGCACTGAATGCACTCTCACGTGTGTCTATAAGTTCTAACAATTGCTTCAAAGAAAATTCTTTCTCTTGCACAGAGGATGAACTCTGCCGCAGCTGCTCAATGCACTGAGCAACACTTGCCAGTGTCCCATCTGGATCTTCCATGCTATTGCGATCTCTGCAAGACATATGATCAAAATATATCATCCAGGTATTATTGTTCAGATCTACACAAACTGATCAATAACACTTGTATTTGACTAACGTGGATTAACTTCAACAGAACACAACACAATACTAACTCTTCGTAAAATTATATGCTACAATCACTTACTGTGGGACTTATACATCACGTGGTGTCTTTTTAGGAAGGTTGGACTTAGGAGAGTTGAGATAAAAGAAGTTTAAAATTAAAATGGATGCTGCCAACTAAATTTAAGCTATACTCAGTTCCACGTTCCTGAAGTATGACAATATTGAATAAACCTACGACCACACGTTCAATGAAAAAGGTGAACAAAGATTGATGAAACCTCTAAAACTAAATGATACGTGCAAGTGAAGCTTAAAAATAAAAGCATATTGGTTATCACAGGAAAATGAATCTTTTAAAAATGCCATGAAATTGCAGAAGGAACAAAAATGATACATACAAGGGCAACCAATAAATAAAGACATATTAGTTATCATTGAATCTTTCAAACATGCCATGAACTTATTAAGAAAATGAAATAAATAAATAAACATTCAACTCTGACTTTACCTGGAGCCCATCTTCATGATAGAATGGGGAGTTGGAGGCTCTGAATCTTGAATTTTCCCATCCATATTTTTTTCCTACAATGGTTGACCATAGAAGTGATTACTAGATAACGTGACATGCCCTATGAAGAGAGAGAGTGAACTACTTATAAGCAAACATAAAAATTTCCCCAGCAGCTTCTTGTATTTTCCCCCACAAAATAAACAGGGTAAGATACTGAACCACTGGCACAAAATTGAAGATGAGATCCCCAAGAAAGGTAGCTTTGTCATTCAATAAAACAGTATAGCCATCCATTGCCTCTTCCTCCTCATACAATTACTAAGTTTAGATAGAAAAATAACAAAATTAGCGTAATGGTGGATCCAGATTCCCCATTTTCTTCACATGCATCACACATGGTTGCATTCAAAACAATGAAATTACCATATCATAAGTTCTCAATGCATTAATTGCTAAAGGAAAAACTATTTTACGAATCTACCTTCAGCCTGTACTAGTAAAATTGAGTCACATAATTCACTTGAAAACAGATTTTTGACAATATCTAAAATGGAGGCCAAGAAGTACCAGATCATTAGGAGGAAGACTGCTGCCGTTGCTGGCAGCTAGTCTCCAAGTCAGTGTCGCCGCCAGCTTCCCTTCCCTTCAAGATACAATGAAGATGAAACAGAACGTTGGAATTCTTCAGATCTACGAGAGAAAGATGGTTAATAGCATAGCAGCCTCCTGCAAAACAATTATGAAAAATCCAGATCAGAGACCCATGATAGCAATGTCGTGAATCCAAACATTTGTTGGCACTTGAACCATATAGATATACAACACCATACCAAAAGCGATACCTCAACTAGTGGTTATTATAAGACCACTGAATAGCTACTGAAAATTGGAACAACCGAGACCAATTAATGCAATGGGTAGACTAATGTGATTCGATTATTTTAATATCAAGCCCCAACATATATTGACAATCCATACTTGATACTCCCATCGATCGGGCGACTCCAGTTTTCTCCAGTAAATCAAATTCCACCAACTATTAATAATGAAAACGAAATCAAATCCAAGCAACTAAAGCCCACAGGATACAGATTCACAAAACACCGACCAATTTTGAATAGAAATGAAGCAGATCCAGCAACAAAGAATCAAAGTCCAGCTGATTTACTATTCAGTCAAACGAGCGGCTAATGCACAACACACACAAATCAAATTACAATAACATTCACAGAGTCCAGCAAAATCCGCAAATCGGACACATAGATTTCACTGAATTTACATCGTCCGCCAATGCAACCAGCTCAAATCCATTCAATGCACAAGAGAGAAAAATGAGACAGAGAGATGAAAGACCTTAGAGACTGGAATGGAGAAGCTCTTTGATACATCCACCGGTTTCTTACAAGAGAAGCGAGCATAAAGAGAGAGTGAGAGAGCTTTGGCCTGTGATTCTCTCTCTCTCTCTCTCTCTCTCTCTCTCTCTCCTCTCTCTTTTTTTCGCTAAAAATGAGAATTACGTCTTCGAATATACAGAGACTGTAATGGAACCAAGCAGCAGCAGGAGACAGCGATGAAGCTTTTTATGAGCTTCCAACCACACTCTCACAAATACACCACCGACAAGCTAACCCGCCGGCTTCCCGGCTCGGCTCGGCTCAGCTCACCTCTGTCCCTTTTTTTTCATTTTTGTTTTAAAATTTGTAACTTTGTCAACGATTAATTAATAAACATCTCTCATTATATTATAACTAATTAAGTGAGAACAAAAAAATTTCACCTTCAATTATTAAAAAGTAATTAAAAAATCAAAATCAAGAGCTTGGATTGATAAGATACCCCATCTCTCTCTCTCTATCTCTCTCTAATCATAAAAAAGACAGGTATTTTAGACAGTGAGATACACCTAATAAAGCTAAAATATATCATATAAAAATTGCTTAATAATCCCTATCGCGCTAACTGAAATTGATTTGCCATTCATTCATCCAAAATAAAATGCATTACTCATGGCAAAATTGTACCTAGAAAAACACAAAATTACTTCTTCATGAAATAATTTCCAACGTATAAATCGTATTAGTCAAGTTCTACTTCTCCACATCTAACATCAGTAGATCTAAAACATATTCCAGATAAATTTTTTTAAGAGAGTGAATTCAAACGTAATCTTATTGTTGTAAGAATAACATTCATTACTTATTATCTTTAAAAAATTGACAACTACGAACAAATATATATATATATATATATATATATATATTCTCTTATTTTATGCATTCATCTCTCTCGATTTTATCGGTACATAATTGGAAAATTTAGGAGTAGATTAAAAACTGGGGAAAGAGTTTGTTGGTAGTGTCATAAGAAGGGAATGATTGGGACTGTGCATCAGCCGCTATGATGTTTTTGAACAATATTCCTTAGTAATTTATAATGTCATTATATATTATAGCTTTTTGTTTAGATGAGCTGTCACTTCCCATGTTCATGTTCATTCTGCAGACAGTTTTATCTCTCTCTCTAGCCATGCCCATGTTCCATTATCTAATATGATGGCTCTCTCTTTATAAATATAATATATAGCGGTTGATTCGGCACCAATTTTGATTAAGACTCTAAAACTTCCAATATATCATAATAATGGACTAAGCCTGTAATTATTGTATCTCAAGTTTCATACCAACCAAAATAGAAGAAGTGTGTGTTTCTTAGCAGAGCCAATAGGCAAGGGTAGCTCAGAATTGATACCCCAAGATTTCATGATTAATTGCAATCGTGTTTATCTGCAAAATATATTTATCCTTAATCCTTCAAACTTGGGTTTGAAGAATCCAAAAGGACACTTGATTAACTGGGTTATCTTCAATTGGTTCAAACGTGGATCAATTGTCAGCAAAAGGGACCGGTTTTAGTTGGTGTGGATAAAACTTTTGCAGTATGTCTAAAGCAATATCTTTAAAAAATCACAACTTCTACTCCACCTTACCCAATACCATCCTTTCTTTTTCTTCCTTGTTTTCGGCACTTAACTGGTCAAGACATTATAATCTTTAGAAAAAAAAAATAGAATCAAATTCTCGCCCCCACATATGATATTGTTCTAACTAAAAAGGGAAAAAAAAAGCTCCAATATTAAGGATATAAAGGCCCAGCAGTTCTCCCAAAGAAAAATGGTCCGACAAGAATGTTCTATTTCTACATAAGACGACTTCATAAACGATTATTAATAGGGGATCTCAGACACGAATATCCCTTTGAGAATAAATAATCAATACCAAGAGCAAAATAATGCCACCAAGGTCCACTCTGGTCAGAGATGGCATAACCACGAAAGCTACTTATAATCAAACACATCAAGTAAAAGCAATGCTTCCGAAATTATGCTATGAGCGGAATCAGTATGATGAAAAGTCAGAGATTCTCAGTGAAAATAAGGACAAGCTATTTCCAATTAACCCACTTGGACAAAAAGGTTGCAATATGAGTTTGGCCTTCTCAAAAGCGCCTGAATGGCTGCAGTTGCTTCTCCTCGGCGCTGCAGCAGAAACTCTCGAGTAAAATCTGTTCTTACAAATTTTTTTTATTAAGGTGTCAACACAGAAAGAATGGCGATATCCAAGTATCGTGGATTTTCTTGAGAACTCGTGTTTTTCTTTCACTGGGGTAGACACCAAGTTTTGGATGCTCTATAGATTGAACCTTCAACTAAGAGGTTCGACATGAAGCTAACAAATCTATAGTACCAAAAAGGCACAACTAATGCCTGGATAGGAAAGACAGAGATGACAAATTACTTTGAGGTCTTAGGTAAGGCTTACTGATGAGGCATACAGTTGAAGCAGGGTAAGCGCTTGCTCCGTGATGGCCCGATTTCTTACTTGCCTTACCCAATCATGAACTATCTCTTCTGCTTTTGTGCCTTTAACACCTTCTTCTAGAGAATGAGCTGCTTCAGCCAAGTTTCCTTCAGCCAAGTAGGACTCCACTCGGTTGATGATAGATTCAATCCCATTACCTGATTGGTCGACCTCCCTCACCTAAAGACGTCAGAGGAAATTTTAGAAACTACAGCAATAGAGGAGTAAATCGGAGATTTAAATGGGAGGCATGTTTCCTTTTAACATACCTTAATCCAGGATGCTACACGGGCTAGAGAATGCGCCAAAACGCCGCCACCACCAGGTGGGATCAAGCTCAAGGTCCGTAATGTAGTTTTTAACGAATCAAACTGCAAGCAGAGTGGTTGGATTAGCAGATACTTTCAGATGGAAGATGATCTCAACTTAATTTTTAATTAGTTAAAATGTAAATAACGAGTAAACAGCATTGAACAATATCCCACAACCTGATGCTTCGAGAAAATCATAGAATTGCAGTGGTTTGATTAATAAATTAAAAAAAAAAAACTAGAGAGAGATAACAAAGGTAGAAAAGGATAAATATCTGATTTTCTGCCCAAAAGGGCAAATCCAAGAACTTCTAAACCACACTAGCGTTATCTTTAGTTGCTTTTTTTCCCCACCTCCATCTGATCAACACCAAACTTTTAAAACAACAGCTATTCAAGCATGTTTTCATTAAATTTGTGTCTAAAAAATAAAGAATAATTTTGTATATTTCATTAAATTGGAAGGCGTTTTTGTAATTGTCTACGTGGCCTTTTGTATATTTCATATCATCAATGAAATTCTCGTTTCATATCAAAAAAAAATAATAATAAATAAAGAATAATTTTTAAACACAACAACAAACAGCACCCAATATTTTTGGTTAAAACAATAACACTGATTACAAATAGATAATATATTGAGTGAGAAGTATGCTAAAATTTGTCTCCAAACTGGAAAGAAATTAATGTACCTTATGAGTCATTTGCAGCAAAGTATCTGAGCCATGATTCAATATTTCTTTAGGAATGGATGAAAGGATCAGCTCTAAGTTTGAATCTTTGTCAATGCCTTGAAGATCGACGCGCAATGCCTCTATTTCAGTCTGGATTGGTAAACCTCTTGAAAGAGCATCCTCAAGTGCCAGTGCCCCCTATAAGATTGAAAGTTATAGTTTGATTAAACATTTCCAGGCTAATTAGGTAGGGAGTGCACTAGTAAAATATAAAAATAATTTACATCCATTAAATTTCCTGAGACACCTTGCACTTGGGCATAATGCTTCTTGACCGTTTTTTTTTTAATTTAATAATTATATATAAGAAAAATTTTTCTTAAGAGAATAAAATGGCAAGTTTACATAAAAGAACTCCAAACAAACCGGAAGAGGATAATTATAGAAATATTGACAAAGGAATTTCCAATTTGAAGCTAACAGCCTAATATATTCACCCTTGAAAAGAGAAAAGGAGATAAAATTGAAGTGTTGTCGCATGACCACCAAGAAAAGCGATTTTACAAACACAGCCAAACTTGCCTTAGTATTCAGATCGTACCCAGATCTTGTTTCAAAAAGTGCTCCACCAAACATGTATTTTGCATATGGCATAATTTTTATATGGTTTTGAAAACAAGTACTGTTTTTACCTTGAGTTTTTATACCAGGCTTAATCTCAATGCTAAAGTTCACTCTATACATGCATATGATGTAAATCTGATGGAACAAAGATCACCTTCATAGTACCCAAACTACAAAAATAGAGACGAAAACAAGCACCAGCAAGTGAGGAAAACATATTTTCTCCAAAAGTAAGTTTGGACTTCAGTTACTTCTACTACGAGTAGGAAATGTAAACACCATCAACAAGTATGTATGAGTGGGACTTTACCAATGCAAGCTTCTGAGCAGAGTAACTCTGACGAGCTTCTTCAGACCTTGCATAGAATGCCATGCACAGGGCATTTATCTGCAAGAAGAATTTCAATATGTAAAAAAACTCCCGGTGGTAGATTGATTGCCAGAATTCAGGCCAATAGAGTCAACCCGAAAGTTGACAAACAAAAAGAAACAGTAAACAACACCAATAAGAACATGACAAAAGACATGTACGTCACATTGAGCAATACCGACTGGACTAGTTGAGAAACGAAGCTGTTAAAACAAATAAACAGCTGAAAAATGTTTTCGTTATTGTGCAAAATTCTCATCAAGCAATTTCCATAAAAATCCCTATGAGCATCTTCCATTTTTTGAAGAATTTTTCTCTCAACTGTGAGATCGTACTTGATGTTTTTATGAATATTATCTTTGAAGGACGTAAGTTAATTGATCCTAACATAAAATCAAAATTTTCCAATTCATGGACAGGCATGATATTCTAACTTCTAAGCTCAGATAAATCGATAACTGTGCCAGATTGCTTACATGAAGGTTTGCTTCGGCCATCTTTTCTATCTGGGCAGCCTTCTCACTTGCAATTGCTGCACCCAACTCTGCTTTTGCCATGTCTTGAAGTTTTCTCAAC